ATGCACAGTCCGCTGCCGCACTCTGCTTAGGGTCAGGTAAGCAGAGTTCCTGAATGGGAACTGTGTATTAAATTAACACTGTATTACAAACAATAACGTAATGCATTATAGGAACTGAGATTTAGATGTGGAGTGGCAACTAACACGTGTAAACTGATATCGTTACCGTTTAAGTTACCAGGTCCAAAATTTGCTGTCATCCCAGAAAGACCTCCAAATACTTCACTGTATTTAGCTCAGATACATGCCGTATTTTGCAGGTTTAGCAAAGCCTCAGGAAAAATGAAGTAAGGCTTTTGTTAATAGGTAGGAGCACCCCACTGAGCTAGAAAAAGCAGCTGGAAATTAATTGTCCCTGAAATCAATTACCTTACACCATGGAAAAAAAGACAGCGTTAGCAGTGGGATGAACAGTGATGCTGCACACTAGTACTGCTGCAATTGTCCTGTGTTGGAGGCTTGATACTTATTCTTGCCGGTGTTTTCACTTTTTATAGATAAATAAACAGGTAAAAGGTGATTTTAACAAAGTGTCTGTTAATTTTAGGAGATTTGTTTATTGAATTCAAGCCTTTGTAGGTATTCTGGAGTGTCACTCCTACTTCCAAGTATTCTTTTTTGTAAAGTTGCCTTGTCAGAATTAAAGAAATAGCTAATAAAAATAAAGCCTGATCTTCAGGGAACAGAATTACAATTGGTATGTTAAAGCTAAGCAATTTACAACAATGGAGAAAGAACAGAGGGAAAAGGAAATGTCCCTTGTTAAATATTTACCTTTTTTTGATGAAAACTGCCATACAAATGACAATATAATAGAAGTGTTCCTTAGGTAAGGTCAGCATTCAACATAGAGGTAAGTCTCCCATAGAGACTTACATTTCTTGGCACAGAAACTTTGATTATAAAAATTTCATATAGGAAATGCAAAGTGCCATAATGTGGGACTTTGATCAAGGATGCCATCCTGATTTATAATTGTGTTTTTTTAACGGTGATGTGCACAAAGCACTGATTTAAAAGCTCATTTTAGTTGCAACCTACATCTTCCTTTTAATAACAAGAAAGTCATCTGATTACATTTTTTCAGTCATCCTTGTGTCACGTATTAGATAATCTCCTTATAGTTTAAAACTAAAAATGCTAATGGATTGGGGAAATGGGTTTCTGCTTTCATCCAGAATATCTGTCTTTTTTATGCTTGTCTTTTGGATCATTTATCTAAATAATAACCTTTAGAGCCCACTCCTTCCTTCCAATGAACTAAAAGACATTCATGATTGAAGTCAGTGAATACACATCTTCTCCCTACTCTAGTTTTGCCAGCTGAGGTTACCACTTTCAGCTGCTTTTATTTTTGGGGAGGAGAGGGGAAGCTACAGACATCCCCCTGCAATGCCACTCATATGGTTACTTCCTAATATGTCTCAGTCAAAGCAGCCTAATTTAGCTTAAACTAACTAGTTAATAAGTATCACCAGTCAGTACTGACTGAAAGGACATTGATTTCAGTGACAAAAAGAAAGCAATTATACAAAAACCTCATCAAACAGCTTCAGTCAGCACATCTCTCGGGGCAGCCCCAAAAAAGAGACAGTAGTAATCAGCCCCCGCAAGGGAAGGTGCTGTGGGTGGTAACTATGTCAACAGGCAAACCTGGAGATACAGGAGGATGTATCTGAATGGCCTTAGTCTCAGAATGAGGGAAGATAACTCATTTTGTACAAAAGCAGCATGAAGAAGATAAATGACCAGCCCCAGGTCAGGTACAAAGATTGTGGAAATTGTGGGAGTTAAGTGCCAGGACAGAGATTTTTCTAGAGTATTTGTATAGTTGAGTTTTCATCATGCCTGACATTTAAGCTGTGTAAGGACGGAGCTTTCAGAAATCACTTAGCACGTACCCTCTGGGGGAAAAAAAACCAAAAACAAACACCAAACCAAACACAAAACAAAACACCCAAACAAGAGCCTAAGCAACAGGAACACATCTTTAAAATACTAATGTAATCGCTTTCCTCACCTACCATTACCTTCTGAAATAGATGAACCTGAAGCACATTTGAAGAGCCACCAACTTTGTACTGCTTGAGACTTTGGAAAATATTTTCCAGCAGAAAAATATCCTTCCATGGACAATCTTCCCAAGCAGCCCTTCCCTTTCATACAGGACCAAATATCAGTTCTGCTGGTCCCACTGGTGACAACGTCACAGGGGGGAAGCAATACTTCAAGTAGATGGATGCCATGCTAGAGACTCACAGCAGAGTCTTCAAGTAACATGTGCTGTTCTGAGGCTCTTGGTGCTTAGAATAAATTCATTCTGGCACAAAGCTCTTGGTCTGCAGAGTCAAAAAAGGCTTGGGATGTAAAGCGATATTCTTACATCAATCAGGCTGTTTTCTCCATTGATGAGAACAAAGAACGACCCTATAAGGTCAGTTTAAAAGCCTTTCTGGTGCTGCTTTGATATTTCCTGTGGTGATAAATAGCACAATATCCTCAATAGTTGCAAATTACAAAAGAGCAAGAATCTACCTATGTGTATTATGTAGTCACTAAATCACATTTTCATGGCAGGTGGGAGGTGACCAGGAGACAATAGCAGGCAGACAGCTAAAGGAATTGCATTCTGCTCATTCTGCAGAGGGGGGGAAAAAATAATCCATGAATATAATTTAATAGAAAAGGAAATCTGTTAACAAAGATTATCTCAGCAGGAAGCAAAAATTTACTGAAGCAACAATTCTGTATGAACTTTCATTCCCAGTGAATCATGCCATTATGTTCAGTTTCATTCTAAATGTGAAACCTGCCCTTGCAGCTTGTTCTCTGCTGTGGGATCACTGTCAAAACAAAGAACAATCACAAAACATTCCCTCAATTCAGAGTTCCTATTTGGAAAGTGACACCCATATGCAGAGATCTAAATGTGAAGTTTGTAAAATGGAAACTGGATTTCTCCCCTTTTCTGGTATTTAGGCAACACAGGAAAGTTGGAAAAGCAGCTGACGGGAGTTTCTAATTATTCACATTTTAGGTTTTAAGACGACTGTATTTACCTGGTACGTGAAGCCAAATTGGTAAATGTAAAATAATAAACTACCATATTCTAGAATAGCATCTGAAATATTTGTTGTAATGTATTTATTGAGATACGGCACCACTAGATTTGAATGCTGAATTAGTCTATTAAGCAGATTGATATTTCTTTCAGTATTACATTGATGGTTATGTTTTGTCTGAAATATTGCTTTAATTCTTAGAAAGTACTTTTACTTCACGAACAGGTGATAGTAATTCTATTAGTGTATTTTTACAAAAGCAGCACACTCATTTTCACCCAGATTTGGTATGATGGAGTTCAGCAAAATACATGGTTTCCACATTTTGCTTTGTGTCATGAAGAACTGAAGAAGGTAAATATTGACATTTTCTGTCTTTGAAGGTAAATGAAATTTCCCATTATTGGAAAACTCTGTTGCCCTGAATGACAAATTACATGATGAGACAGAAGAAGATGCAAATCTTGGAGTTTTAAAAGCATGTAATATTTTCTCAAATTATATTCAGCTGTATTTATCTAGCATTCTGGCATGCTGCTGGATTACTGTTATCAATAAATCTATAAATAGGATGTGAAATGCATGTGAGCTGTCTGTGCATGAATAAAGAGTGGCCCAGCAATAAATTATAGAATAATATATAGTTTAAAATGTAGCAAAAGGAATGCCTTGACAAATCAATGCAACATATTTTGTCACTGAGGGTGAAAGATTCATTATGCATCAGCCTTGAGAAAGCTGGATTTCTGAAGCATGGGTCATCTAGGACATATGATGTAATGAGAGAATATGAAAACATGTAGAAAGACAAAAATAATCTCCTGAATAATAAAAGCATATTAAATTTTCAGGTAAAATACAAGCCTTGTGTAGTACCTCATTGTTCAACAGAGGTCAGGAGTGCAACACCAAAGAATTAAATAATGAAGCCTGACTTCCTATGGGTTTGGTCCCCACAGGAGATTGAAGAATAACCCTTTTTCTGAAACTGGGTCATGTGTGCTGGCTTTCATTTGTGTTTTCTGGTGTCTGTTGAGGTCTAAGCTCATCTTGTAGCACTTTGTTCCACTGAGAAATTCTTTCCTCCACCCAACCACCTATTTTGATGAAACTTGGGAAAATTCAGGCAACTCCAGGCATCTGCCGGACGTGACTGAAACTGGCACCAGATTTGGAGGTGGTTGGAGGAGAGGACACAGACACGGGGCCAGACACACAAACCCAGCAGGTTGCATAAGCCTATAGTGCAGCAAAGAGACTAAAAATAAGACCCACCAATCGCTTTTCCTGCTGACAGCAGCGAACTGCCGTGGGACATTTAATTCCCTCTGATCACATAAATGACAAGACGAGTTGTCACCTGCTGTGTGCGCCAGGCCAGGCAGAGCCGGGAAAATCCTCTCCCTGTGGCAGGGGCCACCAGTCCCAGCAGCCACATCACCTTGTCCCACACGCTGCTGTGGATGGAAACGCCCCAAAAGAAGTTCGCCCCGAGCAGAGGCCATAGACAAGGACTTTGTCCCTGGCATGCTCAGGAAGAGACACCCGAGCTTGGCAGGGTTGGCAATGGCTTAACGTGGGGGAGTGGGCAGGTGGAGGAGAGGCCAGGGGTGCTGATGTCCCTCAGATCCTGCAGCCTCATGAGGCATTAGCGAGAGCCTCATGCCTCATGGGCATTAGAGCCTTGCGACCGCTATGAGGGACGAATTGTTCCAGTCCCTCCTGCAACATGAGAGACAAGCCTTACATTTTCTTAAATATGTTTTTTAGATATATATAAAAAAGAGAGGATTTCTATGGATTTAACGGCTTTGGTACGGATATCAAGCGAGCTCCATCTCCTCAGAGCTTGACCCGCCTGAGGGGCGGCCCGGCAGCCACCGCCCGGCAGGGGGCGCTGCCGCCCGAAATGGCGGCCGCGGGCCGGAAGAGGAAGGTCGGCTCTTCCCCAAGATGGCGGCGCCCAAGAGCGGCGTGGCTGGGGGAAAGATGAAGCGGCCGGCGGCGGCCCGCGCTCGCCGCGGCGGGAAGCTGGCCAGGCTGCGGCAGTCGGTGCAGGACTTCGTTCAGGCAGCCGGCGACCAGCCGCCGCTGACCACGCTGAAAGACGGGGAGAGGCAGAACCGCCGGAGCCGTCGGGACGCCAGGAAGGAGAAGCGCAGGCTCAAGCGGAGCCGACGCCGACGCCTTCTACGCGGCGAGCCGGTGGAGGACCCCGATATCCCGGCCAAGGCGGCTCCGGCCAAGCCGGCTCCTGCTAAGGCGGCTCCGGCCAAACCGACTGCGGCCAAGCCGGCTCCTGTCGCTCGGCCCAGAGCCCCGACCTCGCCCACCGCCGGGAAGCAGCGGCTGGGGCCGGTACCGCCACCCCGCCCGGCAGCCGCCGCCGCCGCCGCCGCAGCCGCCTCGGCGCGGAAGCGGGCCCTGCTGGAGGCCAACGAGGAGGAGGAGAAGGAGATCCGGCGCCTGGAGCGGCGGCTGGGGCTGGGCAAGCGCCGCAAGAAGCAGGAGGGAACAGAGGTCGAGAGGGTGCCGCAGAGCTTCCTGAGGGACGGGCTGGGCTACGTGCTGGGCGCCCTGGGCACCCGGGCCGGCCTCAGCCAGCTCTGCGAGAGCAGCGACGAGGAGGAGGCCCCGGCGTCCCGGGAGAAGGACCGGCCGGGGCCGGCTGAGGGCCCGCTGGGGCCGCGAGAGGACGACGATGATGATGATGATGATGAAGAGGAGGAGGACGCCTCAGACCCCTCCGAGGGGGATGATGTGGAGGGACAGTGGGAGAGCGAGAGCTCGTCCCCCGAGGACGGCGGGGTGCCTGAGGCCAGCGAGCCCCCGAGCGAGGAGGAGGAAGAGGAGGAGGAGGAGGTAGGGTGTTTGCCTTGGATGAGGCTCATCTGCTTCTCAAGGGACATGCCACCACCTGGACATGAGCGCTCCAGCTAAGAGCAAAGAGAGCTTATGTTAAAATTAGTATCTGTTGCAAACTGATGTTTGGCTTCTGGATGATGGAGTGGCTGAGGGAGCTGGGGTTGTTCAGCATGGGGGAAAGGAGGCTGAAGGGAGACCTTATTGCTTTCTGCAACTACCTGAAAGGAGGTTGTAGCGAGACGGGGGTTGGTCTCTTCTCCCAAGTAACAGGTGATAGGACAAGAGGCAACAGCCTCAAGTTACGGCAGGGGAGGCTTAGATTGGATATTAGGAAATATTTCTTCACTAAAAGGGTTATCAGGCATTGGAACAGGCTGCCCAGGCAAGTGGTGCAATTGCCATCCCTGGAGGTATTAAAAAGATGGGTAGACATGGTGCTTGGGGACGTGGTTTAGTGGTGGGTTTGTCGGTGTTAGGTTTGGTGTCGGACTTGATCTGAAGAGTCCCTTCCAATGGAGACAATTCTCTGATCCCAAAGGTTCTGGCTGTGCTGGGTTGCATAGCACGGGTGGAAGGGAGGAGGCCAAACAGGGCAGTTGGGTCATTTAACCAACACGGCACTAGATTAAACTGTTAGTATACCTGTAGCTTATAAAGCCTGGATAAAATACCTAGGATGTCAGGTTTTAATAACAATAGCTTAAAGAAAGTTTCCTGTAAAGGGAAGAGATTTTTTTGCTGCTGTCAAGTTGGTCGCAAGTGGCAACTTGTTGCATACGTCTTTTCTGTGTGAAGTTATTCCTTTGACATTGGTTGTTAGATGGTAAAATATGAACTAAAATTTTGGTATATTAATCTTAAATAGAAACATATTTGTGTTCAATTATTTAAAACACTAGTCTCATTTGGTATATTATTTTATTGTTTTCCTGCTAAGAGTCATAATCACAGTGCTACGAAATATGTTCCCCCTCAAGTAAGGAAAGTTCAGGAGACAGTAGATGACAAGAAAAGAGAAGAATTGGGAAGACTGAAGAAAATGGTGAATGGCCTCATTAATAGGTAATGTAATAAGGAAAGTCATTAATCTTTCTGGTTCAATGTGACAGTGTTCATCAGTCAAATAAAAGTGGCAAAGATGTGACTTTTCTCTTCACAAACTGATTTTAAGTTGGCAATCATGTCTGCTATCCTTAATAATAATTGTCTTTGTTGATATAAATTCGTCAAAGTTGGTCGTTATAGAAGTTGAAAAATCTAGAAAATAAATTTAGGATTGGGCTGAATTCCACCAGCAGTTGCCTGCAAGTGCTACATATAATTTACTAAGTGTCAGTTGGAGTATGCCTATAGAAAAACCTCATAGTGGGAGTTACAACATCCCCCTCAAAAAAAACATTATTTTCTTTTTTTTTTAATGAAATAAAACTAAATTTCTCCAACACTACAACTGGGGAGGAGCAACACTTTGTAGCTTAAAGTACTGAAGAATAGAAAAAGTAATTAACACTTCTACACATTTTAATTTTAGAGTATTTTTAAAATAAGAAAGCTATAGGCATTTTATCTGTGTTATCTGTAAAATGCAAACTACAGTATGCAGTTTGCTCGGTCATCTAGGATTTCATATACCTTATATGTTAGAAAAGTAGAAGGTATTTTCTTACTCAGTTTTTCCAAAGACTGTGATGTGCCATAGTTACAACTGCTAAGAACAAAGTCTGTTTCCTTAATAAGATTGTTCAGTGTGACAGTAAGCATACTGGCAGTGTTTTGTAAATACTGCTACTAATTGTTTTTAACATGTGAATATTAAAAAAAAAACAAAAACAAACAACCCCAGACTTAAACATATGTTGTATTTTTTAGTTTAGTGAACACAACAAAAGACAAAAGGTCCCTCCAGTCATCTTTTTAATGATTTTTCTTTAGCCAAGCTAGTTTCTCTAAAAAATATAGGTTGCTCCTTGGGTAAATTGAAAAATGCGGAACCATGTAAAGAGAAGAAAAACTGAACACTGGATATTGTTTCTCAATAGGTTGAGTGAACCGAATTTGCCTTCCATTAGTGGACAGATGGAAGATCTCTACATGGCCAACAGCAGAAAGGACATGAACGAAACTCTGACAGATATTCTCATGAATGCTTGCGTGACTGCCGTCGCCATGCCTGCAAGATTGATGATGGAGCATGTCCTTTTGGTCAGCATTCTTCATCATAATGTAGGAGTCGAGGTAATTCTTGTGACCGGGACTAATTTTGTTTAATAATACATACTGTAGTGTGATTTTTCCTTGAAACTTTGTTTTGAATTGCCTTTTTTTTAAGCCAAATCATGCAAATCATCAGCAAAATTAACAAGGTGTATCAATGATTCCAGACTATCAGAAACTTCAAAACGGATGGCAAATTTTGTTGGGGTTTTTTTTGTGTGCGTGTTTTTTAAGCCTGATGAATGATTGGGATAAAATATCTCTTGCTTACTGTTAAGAAGAAGCTGAAACTACTGATGTCAACAGAAGTTTTTAGCTAATTTTAGTGAAACGTCTCTCAAGAAACTGAGTTGTTTCAGCACCACGTTCCCATGAAGTTATGTTTTTTTTCTGCATCTCATTGCAAAAGAGGTAATGATGCAAGTTTTTCAGTTTGTCATGTAGCGACCTGAATGTTTTCTGTGAAACAACACAAAATATCAGATGGCTGTGTTTACAGCAGCTTTCTCCTTGCATCCGTGCCATTACAATTTTTTTTCCTCTTTGCTGCTTGAAAGGCAGTTTTGACTGCAAATATAACGTAATACTACAATGCTGTTTTAAGAAGAGAAACACAGTCTTTTCAGGAGTTGTAAATAAGTAGTAATCAGTTTTTTATATATATATACTAATACATATTAGAAATAGATGATATCTAGGCTGTCTTCAGTGTAACTGACTGTTACACAGCATCTTTATTATAAGACTATAGTATTTAAGTATACTATAAAGCCTTATTATATATTCTGTGGAATATACATTACGCAAAAGTATGATAACACAGCTGCATTTAAGATCAGTTTGAGTAATGCAGAACTTGGGATTCCAACAGCTATGTTTATACATTTGTGCAATATGGTAATTGGGTAGTTAAAACCTGAGCTGGTGAAGGCCTGTAATGCAAGTCAGTACTGCTACTGGGAATTCTGGTTTTCGTAGCACTGTGATAAATAGCAGAGGGGGTGTCTTGTTTAGCAGTAATGTGTTCATTACTTACCTATATTTTGGTATGCTTTCCAATTCAAATCTTTAGCATCAGTTCTCTCTCCGCAAATATAGAGGTTCCAAAATTTCTTTTCCCAACTGTACCACTGAGAAATGGCTAAGACTTATCCTCACTCCAAAATCAGCCTAAGCTCACGCTCAGCAACTGTGAAAACTTGGTATGTTGGGGATTGTTTTAGAATATTATTTTTTACCCTCCTGTTAAGGGTTTTGTTCTGGAATGCTGAACTCTGTGGTGCATTTGGTTTTTGATATGCAGCTTTTACTGGATGAATGACTAGCAGTAACAGCACACCAGCCTGACAGCTGGGAAGGTGCTAATAGGTGTCCATGAAAATTATGTAAACAAATCCTGATGTATGTGTACTGTAAGTTCATCACATTTACTTTTCTTGCACAGACTTTAAAAGGCAACTGGATGGCATATATGAGGTGTGTAAATAACATATACTTTAAGAAAATGTCACACCACTTAGATATTTGTATATGTAAATGTAGAACATCCATATTGGTTGAGAGGAGCAACAGTATTTCTTTAAAATTAATAGTGGCGGTGCCCCAAAAATGAATGTTTTACAGATGTCTGTAAAATCTACTTACAGTTAACAGATTTTTTTTTTTTTCCCCTTAATGAAACTATTGCCAGGTCGGTGCTCACTTTTTGGAAGCTGTGGTGAAGAAATTTGATGAAATCTCTAAAAGTGACGCTGAAGGGAAAGAATGTGAAAATCTGATTGCCTTGATTGCTCATCTGTATAACTTCCATGTGGTTCATTCCCTGCTGATCTTTGATATTCTGAAAAAGCTTGTTAGTGCTTTCACTGAAAAAGAGATCGAGTTGATTTTATTTCTTCTGAAAAACGTGGGCTTTTCCTTAAGAAAAGATGATGCATTGGCTTTGAAGGAACTGATCACTGAAGCCCAGAAGAAAGCAAACACAGCAGAGAAGAAACTCCAGGATCAGACTAGGGTATGTGTGTGTGTTTTAAAGATTTGCTGTTACAAATAGACTTTAATAAGCACTTGGATGCTAGTGTTAATTTGCCAATATGTTTTCTGCTACACTCTGTTTACATTCTAAGTTAGTGTTAGTGTTTAGTTGTTGCTTTCAGTTACTTGCATTCTTCTTGTCTGTCTTTCTCCTTTACTTCTTAGGACACAGACACTAAAATGCTTGTAATGGGTGAGACTGGGACTGCTTTGTGTCTTATGCAATGGACAGTGCTTCTGTTCCATGATACTTTGTACTTCAAAAAATGGTCGCTGAGTCATGGTGTTTGACAGATCATGGTTTGAATTGAAGGCTCAACACAAATGAGTGTACTAGGAGTTAAAGTAAACATCCTTCTCAGTGTTTCTATGCATGTAATCTAAATTTTGATGTATATTGCCAGCTGAGCTGCTTATTCTCACAGAAGAGTAATTTCAAAGTACACTCCCTATTAAATAAACAGCACATAATGTACAGAAATATTTATTTTCCCAATAGGTTCGCTTTATGCTGGAGACTATGTTGGCACTAAGGAATAATGATATGCGTAAGATTCCTGGTTATGATCCTGAACCAGTTGAAAAACTCCGCAAATTGCAAAGAACACTGGTGAGAACTTTCTTGACATATGTAGTATAGCTATTTTTAAACCAAAAGTAATTATTTGTATTGTACTTCAGCTTGATGGGCTATAGTATTTTTAGATTCGTTTAACAGTCTGAGACTCCTGTGGACAAAAATCACTTGGATCATTAAGTATTATCTCCTGTGTCCAAGTGAAGTCAGCAGTCAACCAGCCTCTGCAGAACAGTTTGAGAAAGGACTCAGCCAAAGACTTTGCCTCAGAGTTCTGTACTTGAGAAAGAGATTGTGGGATGTTTAATGATCACACAGAAGAAATGAGTCATTATGACAAGTTCTTTTTTCCAGAGATTTTGGATGCAACTGCTTCTAACTTCACTTTATTTTAGAAGTCTAACACATATGAAAACCTGGATGTTTTTTCTTTCTTGGTCTTTTTTTGTCAGTGATAATAGACCAGGCAAAAATAAGATAGGCAACCTAGTTCTGAAGAATTTCCTCTCTTAAATTTTTGCAGTCCTCTTAGTTTGCTTCTAGACTTTGTTGTTGAAAACTCTTATTTTGTTCTAAGAGTTTAAATGGTCTGTTGTTTGAGTTGTACAAAATTTCAGGCAGTTTGTTGTATCATTTTATTTGATCACAAGTGTTTGAAAGGCAAATCGTGACCAGACTGTAAGATGTTGCAACTAATTTCCAATGTCAGCATCGTCAGACTCCTAATCAAGTTTTATGATTGGAAGATGGCTACTTTTTAATTGATTATCTCTTTTTTTTTTAAATAAAAAATCGAGAGCTTCTAAATGTAGATTTAAGCAACTTACTTGTATTTGAGAAATTAGAGCATATGGGAAACTTGTAAATTCTTTTCAGATTGCTGACTGAAATTAAGGGTTGGGGGGAAACTTGTGAAGACCTTTATAGAGATTAAGTTATTTGTTTTAAAGTAATTTTAAGTAACGAAAGTTTTGTGGGTTTTTTTTTAATTTATTTTAAAGAAAGCTTCAAATAAAAGCCTTTGGGGTTTTTTTTGTTCTTATTCAAGGTTCGCAGCAGTGGAAAAGAAACTCAGCTCCGTGTCTCCCTGGAATCTCTCCTCAGTGCTGATCAGGTTGGTCGCTGGTGGATCGTAGGGTCTTCCTGGAGTGGAGCACCAATGATCAATGATACAGACAAGAAGACTCAGCAAAAACTGCATATAGGAAAGGTAAATCCAAGCAGTACTAATTATAAGTGTTTGTGATCTTTTGAATATTCTTCATACAGGTGAATAAGTTCATTTCAGAGCCCACCGAAAAAACTTCCATGGACTCTTGTTAAGACTAAGATTTTGGACTGTAAATTCTGCTCTTACACTTCTCAAAATGTTGTACTCATGCACTTCCTAGGAGCTGTTACTACAAATGTTGTGGTATACCTTTTTTATTTTTTTTTTCCTGCCCTGTGGAGTTGCAAAAGTAACTTCTTGTGTAAGTGAAAGAAGAGACTTGACCTAAAGTGGGTTTGCTCGTATGAATTCTGACAGGTAATGTTGTCTGCCTGTGGGTGGCATCTTTTTAAGCTGATTCTAAAAGTGGTGTGGTGAGATGGTCATGGTGACTTGCATTAGAGAAGCACATCTTAAAAATAATTGGCACAATTGAAATATATTTCCTTAGTTGAAAGAGCTCCTGATGATGCCTGTGCCTCTGGAGAAAAGCTCAGGACTGATGCTTCATAGTTTACTGGAGATCTTCATTAGTGGTCTTATTAGACGCTACACAGAAATAGCTTTCTTAAAGCAAGCATAAATAAAATAGCATTTGTTTTTTTTCAGGTGAGTTCAAAGATAATGGAGCTTGCTCGTAAGCAGAGAATGAACACCGATATCAGGAGAAGTATTTTTTGTGTCTTGATGACAAGTGAAGACTTCCTGGATGCCTTTGAAAAGCTTCTCAAGTAAGTACAAACCAGCACAGAAGACAGCTCAGAACTAAGAATAACATTAGGTGGATTGGAAAAATAACATTGCTGGTCTGGGCTTAAGAGCGTTTAATTGACAATACAATTAAAGAAGTGCTGGGTTAGGGATCCAGGTAGGGTAAAAGGTTAGGAGGACCAAAATCCTGGTGTAAGGACTAGCAGGGGGCAGGCAGAACTGACCGGCAGTCAGAGGAAAGAAGTAGCCCCTGGGATTATCACTCGTGTCTATAACTCTGATTTACAGCATCTTTTGACTTAAGAAGGCTGTATCTTTTGGCACTGAAGATGTGCATCCCAGTGCAGTGGATGGAAGGCTTGCTTCCTCACAGAGGCAGACCAGAAGCCCCTTCAGAACATCTCTTGGTTTTGTTGCTGAATTTCTGTCATACTGCCACTTCCTTGCTTCTTGCCACCTTGTTAAGCCATTTTTTAGGTCTCTGTCCATACTTGCATGACCTGGTAGTGTTCTAGCACCTCCACTTCCCTCTTGCAGTTTTTATTAGCTTTGGATTTACTCCAGGGTCACATTTCATGTTAAAACCAGTTTCCTTACCACTTGGCAAACAGCTCTTTAGAAGAAAATGTGATCAGGGAAAAGCTCAAACTAAGCTATTCTTTGTGTTTGTCAGGATGTCAGAATGTAAGTCTGTAGTAAATGGGAGGGGAGAGATCAGGTCTGAACTTTTCTATTGCAGCCTTGTAATTCAAGGGAATTGTCTTACCAGGATGGCATGCAATTATTTAATTTGCTAACCAAACCAAAACAGACTTTGTAATAAAGTCAACTAATATTTGATTAAATGCCACTTCTGCAAAACACAGCTTGGATTTAAGACTGTGGTGGAGTCATTCCAATATCTTAATATGGCCTGTTCAATTAAAAGAAATTAGCTGCTGCTGCTGCAGTTCTTGCCAAGACCTGGTAGTTCAATTTGCAAATTGATCCTTGACTCTCATCTGTGCTATTTAAACTAGTATACAAATCTGTATACATACAGGCTTGGCAGAAAAACTCTGTCTGCATATTATCTGGTGTGTTTTGAAACTGATTTTTATACAGCAAACTCAGAGATCTCAAATCTGTCCACATCTGGCAGAGAATAATGGAAAGTACACACAAGTTTCAGTGAAGGAATTAACTTCAAGGTGACCATGAGTTCCAGAGTATATGGGAATTTACATTGGTGTGTTTGATGTCAGTCTCATGAGGAAAAGCCTGAGAAATACATGAAGGAGTATTTTAACTGTGTTTGTTGATTCATCTGCTGCTAGATCTCTGGCAGAGTTGAGGTGTGGTTAAGAGGTAATTTAAACCAATTTAAATCCATGCTGCTGTAGTTCCGCTTATCTTTCTCCTTCTTATATCAAAAGAAAGTAACTAGTTTGAAGCCACAACAGCTCCCTGAAGGTGGCTCAGCTTGCGATTGCAGAAGTGTTGATGTAAAGAGAGGGCTGGGAACGTCACTGGAGACAAAGACAATTAGTGAGACTTGATCTGTTTCATCAGCGGAAAGGCTGCAGCTCCTTTGCAAACCACAGATTCACAATGAGGGGGAATGAATGCTCCTTAAGTTTGATGAAGAGACAATTTTAAAGCTATTTTGTAGCGATGAAGAATTTGAGAAACTTTACATCTCAAAAAATAGAAACTTGTTAAGTCCTGGATATCATTTGATGAAGAGACAATTTGAAAGCTATTTTGTAGTGATGAATTTGAGAAACTTTACATCTCGAAAAATAGAAACTTGTTAAGTCCTGGATATCCTGTTGTAGTTTGGTGTGTGATTCAGAATAGGGAGTATGTGACTATCTACTAAAATCACTGAAGTGACTCTTAAACAGTCGTTTTGAATATTACTATTTTTGATCTAAAGGCAATGATAGTCATGCGCTTCAGCTGATAATAAGTAACCTACTTAGAGGCAGGCTTCTGCTGGTGATAAATAATCTATTTCAGAGGCAGTTATCCCATCTACAGGGGGAAATTCTTAAAGTAATCAAGGTCCATGGGAATATTGTAACTTGTGAATGATATAATAGGTGAGGTGGTTGCGTATTCTTTATCTAAGATGATCAGGCTTATGAAATTTGTACAGATTTATGGTGAAGCTCAGCGGTGAAAGGCAATCCTGACTCTTAAATTTAGATGTTTAGAAGTGCTAGTCATCCAATAAATGCATGTCTGGTGGCTGAAAACCTCTGTATTAAAAAAAACCAACAACACACAAACCGCAAACTTCTATTGTTCTATAATAAAACCAGATAGAACTTGGCTGATGGGAGAGCAAGTGAATTATATCACAGACATTAGCAGTTGTAGTGCTGGTCTCTTTTGGAGAAGAGAACTTCTAAGTTTTCAGTGCTTATTAGCAATCAGCCTAGAAATCCTCCCAGATTTTCATATTGTAAAAGCTTAAATTCTAGGGGGTGTTGGCTGGAAGACAATATTTTCTCTGTTAGTCTGGTATGTGTCTGTGATCAAATGCAATGGCAGATGTCTGAAGGTGTGTACAAACGAGGGACATGAGACTCAAGAATGACAAACTGTACTCTACAGACACTAGAGCAAGTTCCAGTGGAGTCAAACTTAGTTAGAAAATACACTTGAGTTATACTAACGCCGTATGAAACTTGAGCTTGAAGCAATGAAAAGAATTTTGTTTGACATTTTTCAGATTATAATACGAAGCATTTTTCATTTTAATTGGTTTTAATGCTGCCAAGTATTTGACAGCCCTGGAAGCCAAATGGTATTATTCACAGAACAGGTGCATCGCGAGTCAGTTACCGTTCCCTGCCAAAGTGTCTCAGGCCTCTTTCAGGCTGGTCAGCTGCTCAAGTGGGAAGGCTGTTCAGTCCTTGGCCTTTATGCTGAGGCAGCCATAAGTACTCATTGATACTGACTGTTTTCTTCAGACTTTTTTTTTTTTTTTTTTTTTTAAGGTGGTTTGAAATCACTGACTACATCTTCTTAGGGTACTGTCAAACAATAATGAATTTCAAGTATTATGTAGCATGGAGTTGACCTAGAGATGAAGAGATTCATGTCACCAAGTAGAAAAAACATCTTAAAATATTTTCTTATCCTTAGTAAGTACCACAGAAGTGAAGGACCCTGGACACGTTTCTCTCAGTAGGGTTATACTGATTTTCCTCTTACAGCTACAAGGGTGAGATAACTGCAACAGGGTCCCACAGTTCTTGTTTCACTAGTTAACTGTTGTACACCATGCAGCAGTGCTTGCTGCAGTACTACTGCTACGTTCAAAGGTACAAGGCTCCACGATGACAGTGCCCTCTTCCCTGTTGTTCTCCCTGGAGAGCTACAAATATGGAGTGGGCCACTTTTCCTTCCCTTGGGGGTAATTTCACACTTTAAGTCTGAGGTCTTGCTTTTGCAGGCGTTCCTTTCACACCAATAATATGGCAGCATGTCCATATTGCCTGATGACAGTGCCCTCTCCTCTGTTGTTGTCCCTGGAGAGCTACAAATATGAAGTGGGCCACTTTTCCTTCCCCTGGGGGTAATTTCACACTTATGTCTGGTGAGGTCTTGCTTTTGCAGGCATTCCTTTCATACCAATAATATGGCAGCATGTCCATATTGCCACTACTGCTACGTTCAAAGGTACAAGGCTCCATGATGACAGTGCCCTCTCCTCTGTTGTTGTCCCTGGAGAGCTACAAATATGAAGTGGGCCACTTTTCCTTCCCCTGGGGGTAATTTCACACTTATGTCTGGTGAGGTCTTGCTTTTGCAGGCATTCCTTTCATACCAATAATATGGCAGCATGTCCATATTGCCACACCAGGGTACTGATTTAGCCCACAGTGTTAAGGTTTTGAGTCCATTCAGTGTTTTAAAGACTTTGTAGGGTCTTTCTATCAAGTAAAATTTAATGTTGTGTTTGGAGGGTATCTTTTAAGTATTACTCTCAGATGCTGACTGTAGCTTTTATTTTGTGGCTGTGATTTTTTTCCTTACTAAACAATTTTCGTTCTCTTGCTAAATTTTAGGCTTGGACTGAAAGATAAGCAAGAGAGAGAAATTGTTCATGTTATCATTTACTGCTGCTTACAGGAGAAGACATATAACCCCTTCTATGCATTTTTGGCTGACAAGTTTTGTCAATGTGAAAGACGATTTCAGGTGAAGAAAAAACTTTCTACTTTGTCATTGTTGTCGTTTGGAAAGCAGTTATTAAATACCTGAAAATTAATGCATGCCTGTTAAGATCTTGGTCCTAAGGAAAAATTCTGCTGTTTATAGCTATGCATTCGGTGAGGCATACCCATGGTCAGATCTGAATAGGAAATAGAATAACTACTGCAGAAGGTTTGCTTTTCTCTGTTTTACACGTTTTAAAAGAATTGAACAGTCTAATCAAGCATCTCTGTTAATTAAGAGAGGGGTCATGAAGAATAGAAGGTCAAAAGGTTTTGTTATGTTGTTACTCATTTAAACAGTAACTTGATTTGTAGGATTTTTTTTTTTCCTCTGACACCTAGATGACATTTCAGTTTAGTCTTTGGGACAAAATCAAAGACTTAGAAAACCTGTCAGCTGCTGCTGTCTCCAACTTGGTTTCGCTGTTGGCACACTTACTAAGGACAAAATCATTGCCACTTTCAGTTCTCAAGGTTGGTGTGTTTTCTTTTCAAGATACTTCTGTGTTTTCCTTGCATTTGCTAATTCTATGGAAACCGTACTTTCTCTGTTACCTAGCTGGTGCTTTAGCTATTCATGATCATAAGCTAAGACAAAAGTTCTTATAAAATTACCAAATTAATCCAATTGATTACAGTACTGCTATCATTTGGGGGAAAGGGAGCCTGGGGAGATCTACAGTTCTATATCTAGAGTAATTATAAGATTATTTTCTTGAGTGTATCCAGAGTTGGAACTGAGCCCCCTTCATTAACAGGCTGTGTCAGTGGATTTTGTGCTATGCTTTTTAGCTGCTGCTGTTTTTTTAAATTAGACCAGAAGGAAATTTACTGAGCGCTTGGATTTTGGAACAGGGTGTCCATAGACTTTTACTAGAAGAATAACTGAAATGTGTTAAACAGGCAATTATATGGATTGTCCCAGGTACTTCTGAAATATTTGTCTAATGAGAACCTGTCTCCAATATTCTGGTACTAGTAGGTTAATCCTTGGAAAGTTCTCTGCTTTCTTTATTGATTGGCTTTGGGAGGCAGCATTCTCAGTTAATTCTGCTGTGCCAAACTTAGGACTCAGTATATATGGGAGGCCAGTTGATGTGATAAAAGCTGTTCATGTAGAAGAGAATTCAGCTGTTTGAAATGCTTGAATTAATCTAATTCTCTTTCTCTACCAGGTAATTGAATTCAGCGAACTAGATAAACCCAAAGTCCGTTTCTTGCGACAAGTATTAAGCATGTTGTTAATCAAAACAGACCCTGAAGAACTTAGTGACATTTTTGTGAGGTAAGTGATCAGAGAGATCTCCCGGGAACCCTTGGGGAGTAGTAATTAAGAAGATAAGAAGTTTGCTAATTTTGTTTGAAATTACACAGCGCCTCTTCCAAAGATCCATCCCTTAAAAAGTAAGCTCTCCTGTGTGACTGGGGGGAGGCGTATCATTTGTGTTAGCACAGGCTGTGATATAGATACAACTGTGAGAAGCCTTATACAAAATAATGCTTTCAGATATTAAATGTATCATTTTGGTCATAGGAATTTCATGAGCAGAGCTCTGTCATTACTTTCCTTATTGCTTTACCATCTGGGTGCAGTGGGATTCACTCTCCCAGCAGTCTTTGCTAGAAGGTATCTTTAGTGTAAGAAGGAAAAATAAAGAAAAATGAGGGAAAGGTTTGGAGGATTATTTTTTTTTTAAAAAAAAACGACATTGTCTGGAAAATCTTATTTTTGTGTATGGGACAGTTTCCAGAATTGCTGGGAAATCTCCATCCTTGGAGATGCTTGGAACTCGGATCATCCTGACCACACCTGGTCCAGCTTTAAACAGGAGGTCAGACAAGATGACCTGCTGACGTCCTTCCTGACTTAAATTATTCCACGATTCCATGATTTTGTTTTATTAAACTTGCAATGTTATATGAAGTTAGAAAAAATCAGGTAAAGATGTTTCAGCCATTAACACGGCAACATGAGGAAGCTCAAGCATGGTATTTGCTTCATTTTTTGCTGCAGTGTAATTGTTTACATAAAGCAAGTCTAAGGCTCAAATATTCCATTTTATTGTTGAGGATCAGTTGTATGTTGAGTGTGTTTGGGCTGTTTGCCAAACTAATGTAGACTTGCTGGTAATTTGAAAGCCTCTTCAGAAGAGCTCCTTTTATAGGTTGGATTTTTTTCTACATCACTTTTTGAAGAAGATAAACCAAATAATTAAGAAACTTCTGAAACAGTAGAAGACTAAATACTATTTTTTTGATCTATATATTTGCAGGATATCTGACAAGAAGACTAAATACTATTATTTTTTTTTATCTGTATCTTTGCAGGATATCTGACAACCCAAATCTGGGAATGCTACGGGAAAGCTTGAAACTCTTCCTTACCCACTTCCTACTGAAAAATGCACAAGCCCAAAAAAGTCCTGAAGAAGCTAGCTTATTAAAAGAAAGAGTTGAACTAGCCACCAAGGCTTTGGAAGCAAAAGAACCCAAATTGAAGCTATAGTTCTGTTTTTCTAATAAAACAGAAAAAACTGAGTCTGTATGAAGATGCAAAGCTTTGTTATTCTTTCAGACCCAAATAATTGAGAATGAGGAGAGCCTTGTTACTCTAAAGGATCTACTTTTTGATTTAAAGTTACTTTGCTTTATGCATTAGTTACAGGGTTAATCGAAGGTGATAGAAGGCCTTTTTAAGAAAGGGGAAATGTATTTATTTTTTTTTGTCATGTCCCTTTTTAGCACGAGAGCTTCATGTTGATGGTTAGTATCTGGAGAAGAGGATGAGTTTCTTGGGGTTAATTGAAGGTGATAGACACCCTTTTTAAGAAAGGGAAAATGTATTATTTTTTTTTTTGTCATGTCCCTTATTAGCACGAGTGCTTCATGTTGACGGTTAGTATCTGGAGAAGAGGATGAGTTTCTCTTCTGTGATACTCCCGGTCAGCAGTAGCGTTCTGCATTGCATATTCTAACTTTTTATTTAAAATAATAACAGAATACTGACCACCGTATGTTGGAGAAAGAGCCTTAACCATAGGCTGTTGGTTGTACTTGCCTGAGGAAACAGGCCACTAGATGGCACGAGTACTGGTGAGTCAGTTTGGGAAGAAAGCAACTTTGTTCTTCAAGTGTTGAAGTTACCTGCTAATTCTGTGAATTGTTTACCTGACGGTGGGTCAGGAGAAGATCTTCAGTTGGATGCAAAGCTGTAGTAAAGCGACTTGAAGATCTGACTTTGCCCGTTTATATTGGGTTTAGAGATCACAACATAGTTTTATTGCTCTTTTAGCCTTGGTTTCGTAGCTTTAAAATTGGAGTTGTGTTAATCAGGTTTTTCTAGGCATAAAGAATAATATGAGTCTTTCAATAGGAGGATACCTTCCTTAAGAATTTGCTTTTGTTTTCCATTCAGATGTTTAAAAAAAAAAAAATCATGTACATTTCTTTCAGTAACACTTGGTGTTAATGGTTTGTTTCTTTTGTCACTTCACCACTACACATTAAACTGCGATTTTTCTAAAGGCTTTGCTGTTTGTATTAGCTTCACTCTAAGGTTCCTGGTGAACCAACTAAAGTTGGGGGAGAGGATGAAGCACTTTCTCATCTGCAATATGTGCTGCATCTGTGTAAGCTACCTGTGGTCGAGCTGCCAGCCCCGTTTCTGTAACCAGGCTTGTTCTCTGGTGTTCAATAGTCCAGTCTCTTATGGTGCCTCCTAATTGTGTTTGATACTAATTGATCTGTTCAGCTGCTTTGGATCTGACCCTGTTGGGAAAATTTGCTCCCCGTAGGCATCCCCCAGAAAATTTTCAGTTCTGCAGCAAGAAAGATGGACAAGAATATTTTTAATTCTTTTCATTTTCTAATGAAAGAGTTGAATGTAAAGCACTCTGCTGGCTCAGTTGTATGAGCAGTGTTTTTTGGGTGGAGGAGTGCTTCCCCCAGCAGCCGAGGAACTGTTTTTCTCACCTCTCTGCTTTGGAGAGGGCAAGCTGTAGGGAGCAAGGTGTGCTGGGAGCAGAGAGACCCAGTTTCAAAATCCCAGGTTACAGGAGCATGTTAACTAACACAGAAGAGATGACTATCCAAAAAACAAAACAAGATGCTTTCTTCAGCCAGTTTTGTACCACTGGCAGCTTTTAAGCATACAAAACTGGCCATTTCTGCTTACCACGTAACACGCAGAAGAGGAAAAAAAACTAAAATATTTCTAAAATTCATACCAATTAACCAAAGTATGGGAAGCAGAAGAATTGAACTATTTGATGGATACAAAAGTCACAGCTTCGGAGAGAGCATGTAAACAGCTCCCTTGCGAACAGCCATGCTGAACCTCCTGTTCTAGTTTTGGAGCCTGGACTCAGAAGAAAATCTGTGCAAGGCCCTAGAAACTGGCTGCTGTGGAACGCACAGGACCTCGGTGAGTAAAAACTGCTCCCCCTAGACTGCAGCAGCCACCTAATTAATTACCTTTTTTTGCAGGAGTTTAGGTAGACCCAGCATGTCAGCGTGGTTGTGGTTTAATAATACATAAATGGAAACACATTGCTCTAGCTGGGAGATGGAGGCAGCTTTGCTCCTCGAGATAAAGCCTGAAACATCTTCCTTAAATTCAGTGTGACAGGCTGCTGGTTCCTCGTTTGGGTGCTGTTCTTGGCGACCAGAATTGGCCGCCCTTTGCTGCCCGGGGAAAGATTGCCTGGTGTTTTATGGGTCTGAGCCCATTCACTTGCTGCAGCTGCCCGAGGCGGTGTTGCAGGTGTTGCTATGCAATTAGAGGAGGTGATTTTAACCTTACACTCTAAAATTGCAATTGTGATTTTTTTTTTTAATTTTTTTTTAGACTTGCATTTAGCTATTATTTATCCCAAACCGTTTTGTTCAAACTTAGTTATATTATTATGCTTTGTTGCTGAAGAAAACAGATTTTACCTGCCTGCAGCTTTTACATTTGTCACATTTATGAAGAAACATAATTTTTTTTTTTAACAAACCTGAATTTTCAAGGAAAGCAGCCAAAATACACTGCCGGAATCATGGTACAAGGACAGTGGCTGTGAGGGATTCTGTATAAGTCCCATCCTCTCGCTGTGATTTCTGAGGGAGTAACTGTCAAATGAAATTGGACAATTCTAAGATAAATGTGAGTTCCTGAATCTTGGATCTTGCCATGTTTAACAGTTTGACAGAAATTGGACAATTCTAAAATAAACATGAATTCCTGAATTTTGGATCTTGCCATGTTTAACAGTTTGGTTTTTTCCCTGGTCCCACTGGCCAAACTGCCGGAGCGTGAGGGAGGTGGAAGGGCTGTCAGCTGCTGCTGCTGTACCTGCACATCTGCAGGCTGGCACTTCTGCGCTGCAGTCGCATCCCAAGGTATAAGGCACATGTGAAAAGAAAAGCGGAGATAATTTTATATTTATATCTTTATATATATTAAAATATATAATATATATTATATATTTTCTAGATATTGTATATATAAATATATGTATACATGTAAATAGATATATATATTATATTTATCATATTTTTAACCCTGGAGAAAAAGCTTTTCACCAGCAAAGCTAGCCCTGCCATAGTGTCTCCTCCTTTTAGGAGGGTTTTCGGTGCTGTAGGGTCTCTCCGTAGCAGCAGCAACTCCAAATGCTGGCAAGCAGCTCCCTCCAAAGCCACCCATGAGGCACCTCCTGCCAGCAGAGGCTGTTGGGGAAGTCACATCAGGCTCGGACATATTTTGCTTCATCTCCCGCGGAATAAATGTTGGATAACACATACACACAACATGCAGCATGTTGAGATTTCTTCCTCTTGAGTATTAGGCTCTTAGCCAACAGCAAACCTCCATGAGAAACATTCCTTGATTATTCCAAAAAGAGAGATGCCACTTAAAGTGTCCAGAGTTCTCCCATGAAAGGAGGTTTGGGGGAGTTACTGCTTCATGAGCAGAAACGGGCTTTGAATTGGTAAAAATACACTATAGTGGAAAACCAAGGAGCTACGGTTGCAATGGAAAACAGGGCGTGATTTGCTTTAGGTGCACTTAACTAGAAGCCGGATGTTTGATTTTTTTATTATTTATTTTTTTTTAGCTATATAGCAGATTTCAATTCCCCCTTTAAACAGCACTATCCCCTCACAGCTATTATCACGGTTTCAACTTTTGTTTTCTTTTAAGCTGGCCAGTGATGTTTTAAACTTTCTCTGTTTTCTGTATCAAAATTAACAGGGCAGTGAAGTCTGGTTTTTAGCTTTGGCCGGAGCGTTAACGCTGATAAATCATACACGAGTCCTTTTGGCAGGGTTTTAGCACCGCACCTGAATGGGCCAAGTATCTGCAGGGCTTTTTTTTTAACTTGACGTTTTTCCATTGTCCTGCACAGGGGGGATGAGGGGTCGGTATCAGTCAGCACTCGGAAAAGCGCAGACACAAGCGGCTCTTGCCCGGCCTGGCGCTGGCAAAGGGGTGCAACCCAATCCTCTGCCTAAAGCACATCTGGGATCGTTTCGCTCGCATTGTTCTCACCCGTGAACTTTGCACGTGAAAAGTCCCAGCCCAGGAGCAGCACGGTGCTAAAATGTGCACGACAGCGCTTTCAGCTTCATAAAAACGCCAGTGGCAGGTCTAATACTCACGTTTTTTGTTACGTTGAGTGTAATAGCAGCTTAGTGCCCAGCTACGTCCCGTGTGTGTGAAGACCAATACGTGGGGTTTTTGTTTTTTTTTTCCCTGCTGTAGATGAAGCACTTTTGTTTTCAGGAGACAATCTGATCCATAGGGTCACTTTTCCAAAGGCGGGGTGTCAGTTTTACCTGAGACTTTTTGGGTTGGATGGATTTCAGGAAATTGGAGGTAGAGATATGACTCGTTTACCATATGCCACTTTTTGTGATTTCACCTCCTGGAGGAACTTTCCTTTGCCCTCCAGTAAAGCTTAGTTTACCGTGAGGCCCACAGACACCACAGCTGCCAACATAAACTAGCTGTGCTGTCCTCAAATTCTGGTGCAACCTGCAGCCTTGCCTTAAAGCTAATTACAATAGCCTTCCGCTAATTTAAATGCAAAGTGCACGTTTCAGAGTCAGATATCATGTGGTTTCCCTAATAAAGCTTTAAGGAAATGAAATGAGCAATTATCAAGAATAAGTTTAGGGAGAGCCAGCTGGCACCAAAAATTCCTTAAAACTGGTGTCCGAGGACAAAACAGTTCAGACACCAAAATGAGCTTGCTTTATGCAAATGGAGGACTTCAAAGTGAATGCACTAAAAATGACTAAGTAATGTAGCAAGAATGAGAGGTATGGAGTAAAACTTACAAATAGAGACCTTTTTTGAATAGTTCCTTTAGAGTCTTTTGACCGTAACAGTGAAATGCTTGTTTCATTTTCATAAGTGAAAGATTTCCAGGCGTGAGACACTTTTCATTTAAAATTCCCTTCTGGATCTTTTCCCGTTCAGACGGTCAGAGGACCCTCTAATCTCTCTTGGGTGTGCAGGCACACACGGCCCTAGTGCCAAATGACAGGGAATATTGTTAGGAGGCAGCAAAGCCCAATGCAGGAACCGCCTTCAGCTGCAGTCAGGGGATGGAGCAGTGCATTTTTCTAGTAGAGAGACAATAAGCCAAGATACGCTCTGTGTCACCTTGGGGGAAAAATAAGTCATCTTGATTACATTTCCTAGGCTTG